CAACTCCACAAGCATCCACCAGGACAACGAGCGTTCCACCAGCAACAGCGGCGGAAGAGCCAGGTAGAAGCCCGAAAGAGCACACTTCAAGGTGCCGAAGAACAAGGGCAAGGAGGCAAGAACCGCCGCCGCGGTAAGAACCAGAACGAGCCCGGACAGGCGCGAGCTGGTGTTCAAGGATGAGGCCAGGAGTCTGCGTTGGTGACGCCCATGCTCGGCACAGGGGCGCGAGTGCAGCTGCTTCGATGGCAGACGCGCCTTGGCCAATTCGCGGCGCATGCGCAAGAAGGTGTGATAAACAAGGACGACATCATTCTCGTCAGCTTGCGCGACTACCAGGACGGCAAGTGCGACATCATCCTCAAGTACACCATGGACGAGGCGCGAAACCTCATCAAGAACGGGCAGCTCCCAGCCGACACAAAGGTCAACGAGGGCGGCGACTCCGACAAGGAGCAGGACGACACCGTTGTCTTCGCCGAGGTTGACAACGCAGGCGACGAGGAGGACTTTGACGTCGGTGGGGACGTGGACATTGATGACCTCTAAACGGCGACACACATACACACACACACACACACACACACACACACACACACACACACACACACAGTGCATGGCGACGTACCTCCTGCAACACCTCTGCTGCTGCCTTCTTGGCACGGATGATGTTTGGTGGGAGGTTGGCATCAAGGCTTTCCAGGTCCTTCACTGTGGACACAATGTCCTCAACAAACTGTATGTAGTGGAGAAATGGATGCAATCAGAGTTGTGAGAAGTCAAGTCGAGATTTGCAACAATCATGCTTGCAGGCATGCCAGGAGGTCACGCACAACAGCTACTCACAGGCGTGAAGTGTGTGCGTGTGTGCGCGTGTGTGCGCGTGTGTTGTCGTGGGTGCGTCGTGTGCATACCGTGACAATGGTGCGGTGGGCGTTTGTTCCGACGGGGCGGAGAATCTCTGGCACAAACACGTGGAGCATTGTGTCGTAGAGGATGGAGTCCCAGAGCTCAATCTTGTTGCTCAGGCCCTCTGATGGCAGCAGTTGACGCATGCGGTCGGGCAAATCTGTCCAGAAGGCGTGGATCATCGCATACACGTTGCCGAAGCTCACGGACTTGACAGCCTCCAGCATGGTGACACAGTGGTTGCGGTAGAGCTCGCAGAAGGATGCAATGTCCTCCTCTAACGATGCGGTGTCGCGCTCCGTGACTGCCACACCCACTTCTTCCAGTTCAAGGTGGGGGAAGCCCGGCAGCTGGAGGGACTTGTCCATCGAGTGCATGAGCATCATCAAGGTTCCTGTGCTGATGCGGCTGATGGGCGACGTCACGCTGCTGCTGCTGCCCATCCCAAGCATCGAGTTGGAGTCGTGCCTATGTTGCGTTTGTGTGTGAGAGAGAGTGTGTATGTGTGTGAGTGAGAGTCAGAGTGAATGAGTGCGTGGGTCAGAGTGCGCGAGTGTGAGTAAGAGTGTGTGAGTGTGAGTAAGAGTGTGTGAGTGTGAAAGTCAGAGTGTGTGAGTGTGAGAGTCAGAGTGTGTGAGTGTGTGTATGTGTGTGTGGGCATGTGCCAACGTGTCAGTGAATGGGAGAGTGAGCCAGTAAGTTTTGTGGGGCATGTTGTTTGTGTGCGTGCAAAACAAGTGCGAGCAAACCCAGTGTGTGGCTCACGTTGTTGCCTCTGTTTCCTCGTCGGCAAGGCGAAGCATGGCGACGGCGGAGGATGGCTTGATGCGCAGGCCCTCGTAGTGGTACTTGCTGTGGCCACGCGAGCCAAGGCGGCGTGAGGTGACGCCAGGGAACACGCCACGGATCACTTTGCCGAACCCGGCGGCGTTGCAGGGTTCTTGCATCATGCTCTGCATGTGCCGGCAGTATGCCTTGTACACGAGGCGGCGCTCCACCGTGAAACCGGTCTTGAGCTCAAAGTTTGCTCGCAGCCAAGTGACTGTGTCCTCGTCAATGCGCACCGCACGGTTGCGGTGGCGGCGCGGGGATGTAGCCAACTCAGTCTGTGTGCAAAACGTTGAGTGCGTGCGTGCGTGCGTGTGTGTGTGTGTGTGTGTGTGTGTGTGTGTGTGCGTGTGTGTGTGCGTGTGTGCGTGTGTGTGAAGCGGCGGTGAGATGATTGAGGAAGCCCAAGCACCAAATTGAAACAAATGTTTCGCAAGCATGGTTCATGTCCAAGCATACATACACACAGAGACAGAGACACACCCAGAGACACACCCAGACACAGAGACACCCAGGTGAGACGTACATCGTCGATGCTGGCACTTGAAGGAGTGGCAGGTGGTGTGGCGGCATGCATGCTTGAGCCGTGGACGGTGGTGAACTTGAGGCCACCGGGAAGCTGGGTGGTGGAGGTCATGGCAGAGATGTTGCTGGGACGCACCATCATCACACGCGGGTGCTGAGCTTGTTGCTGCTGCTGTTGCTGCTGCTGGAAGGCGTAGCCCTGGCCGCCCTCCTGCGCGTAGTAGGATGGGTATTCAAAGCGCACGTTCTTGGCAACATCATCAGCGCTGACAGACCCTTGTTGATGGTGGTGATGGTGGGCGGCATACTCTTGTTGCCTCCTGCCGTTCCCCGCTGTGGAGCGGAATGGTGAGCTGGGAGCGCTGGCACCGCTTGCCCCGCCACGGCCCTCGTTGCGCCTGCGCGGGTGGTGGCTCTGGGCAGAACGGGATGGGCTGCCGTACATGCCAGCCTGCTGTTGCTGCTGTTGGTGCTGCTGCTCGTCCTCGGGGTGAGCATATGTCATGGCAAACTCTGGCCGTGGCCTGCTGCGGTCTTGCTGACGGTCGTGTTGCGATGCCGCGGCGAACATGTGTGCCGCTGGTCCGCCAAAGGGCGCCATCATCTGCGGCGCAAAGGATGCAGGCGTTGCCGTCTGTGCAAGGGCAACGTGCGTGCGTGTGTGTGTGAATGCATGTGTTTGCAGAGGTAGTGTTTGTGAGTGGGACAGTCGGGAGGCGGACAGGGAGGTTGGCAGAGAGGCGGAGAGGAAGGCGGACAAGGAGGCGGACAGGGAGGCGGACAAGGAGGCGGACAGGGAGGCGGACAGGGAGGCGGACAGCAAAACAGACAGGAAGGCGGGCAGGAAGACTGGACACACACACACACACACACACATACACACAAACCAAACAAAGCAAACACACACATACACACACACACACACCTCAAAGTTGAAGCGGTGGACGCCCTCCATAGCTCTGTTGGCTGCATATGCTGCTTCTTGCGCAGTGTCCATGCCGCTCCTCACGGCGGCACGGCCCATGGCCTGGATGTTGGCAGCATCTGCACACAACCACCGCCAGGGAGGGAAATCAGCGCATACACAACGTGAGAATAAGCAGCCACAGCATCGGCATCATCAGCACACACACACACCATCTCCGGTCTTCTTCAACTGTTGGTTGTGTGCACTGTGTGGTCACATCACAACCGCCTCTCAAATGCAAACAAAGTCTCATGTCATCAAGTCATCACCCAGCAGCCATGACCAACAATGTAAACAAACAACCCAACGGAAGTCATGAACGAAACCCAGGACAGCACCACCACCCCACCAAGCCACAACGAACATCCATCAATCAATCCATCAATCCATCCATCCACGCAGGCACGTACGGGCACAGTCAACCGCTTCTCCCCGCACGTCACCCAAACATGGGCATCACGACAGCCACTGTTCGATGTTGCGATGGGCGTGTCAAAGCTGCATGTCGTTGGCGCAGGCGACTCACCGCTGTAAGGGTTGCCATGCACCTTGGGGCGCTTGCTGGGCTGCGGTTCGAGCTGGTGCTGGGTGTCCATCGTGGAAGACGGGTAGGGGTAGGGGTTGTTGTGGACAAGAGGGGAGTGTGGTGAATGAAATGGTTGTCCGCGATGTTGTGTGGCGTCGACGGCGTCTCACGGATATGCCCTGAAGCAATGTCTCGTTCTTGGGGTGATGCCACACCGCTGCACGGCAAATACTATGCAACGCAGACGGAAGCTATGCGCAAGGAAAGTGTGCACGGCAACGGCCGCAGTTGGCTGGAGATCTCCCCTCCACATGCCTCGTCGAGCACAACACTGTGCCTGCAGGCACTGGTCGGAAAGCAAACCGCCCAGGTTGCATGGCTGCCCGGTGTTTTGCGTGCCTGCAGGCAACTTGGCTATGTGGGTCATCTCCGGAATGCACTGCATGCAGCCGAAATCCACATTCATCACCGCCATGGCGCGAAATACTTTCTTTGAGGGCAACTGGCACGTCCAAAGGATGCAAGTGTGTGTGTGTGTGTGGTTCTTTCCTTTTCTCTTGCTTGTTGCTTGGTCGTGGTCGTGGTTGTGGTGTGTGGGTTGGCATTCTTGGAGTGCTTGAGGTTCGCACACACGCAGGAATTCGCTTGTTTAGGTCTTGTGGGTATGCTGCATGTCTTTGCGTGGGTGTTTTTGAAAAACCCGCGGCGCGCCAGCGGTAGAAGTTATTTTATGGTGTCGTGTCGTGTTCCTGTTACTCTCTGAACAATGCAAAAAACGGGTTTGCTTCTTCCTCTTCTTCCTCCTCCTCTTCTTCTTCTTGTTGGCGTGCTTCTGTTGTGGCATGCACCTGGTCGCCTCCTTGATTGTTCGACGCCCTGGCACGCTGCTTGCTGGTGTCTCTTGTGCGCACTGCCGCCGTATCTCCCTCTTCATCTCCATCATCATCGTCGTCGTCGTCAGCAGCAGCAGCAGTAGCCTGTGGCTGTGCCGCTGTGTCATTTGCAGTTGTATTGGCGGCGGCTATCTTCTGCTCTGCTTGCGGCTTCTCGACGCTCGCCTTCTCCTTCTCTTCCTGTTGCTGCTGCTGCTTGGGTTCCTTTCTCGTCGGTGTGGCTGTCGGTGTTGCTGTTGTTGCTGCGGCTGGCTGTGAGCCGTCACCGAGCTCACCGCGCGCGCGACGCCACTCCTCCGCCCCGCTCTGCCGCCCCACCAGCTCCTGCGCACTCAACGCAGGCTCCGTTCTCCGCGGCTCCGCAAACAAACTGCACAAGCGCGCACACAGAGAGGAAGGTGCCAGGGAATCAATCAATTGGAGTGGGCAACGTGCGACAAGTAGAAGCACAGGGGCAGACACACAAACACAGACAGACAGACAGGCTGACAACCAAACAAGCGTGCGCAGATTATCACGGGCAAACAAGCAAGCAGGTCAAACACACGCACACACACACACACTGATGCACACTGATACACACCGACACACACACACCGACACACACACACACACACACACACAAACACACTCATACATACAAACACACACACACACAAACACACTCATACATACAAACACACACCGATACCCACACCCGTACCTCTGCCGCTCAGTCTCCAGGCTCTGAAGAATAGCTTCGCGTTGGATTTCGGGCACACCGGCAAGCAGTTGCTGGTTGATGGTCTTGATCATATCTGCCAGCCAGTCCTCAGACACCTGCAAGCCCCACCAGGCAATACACAACAACAACAACAACAACAACAACAACAACAACAACAACAACAACAACAACAACAACAACAACAACAACAACAACAACAACAACAACAACAACAACACACATATACACACACATGCCCAGCGAGTGCAAGTGTCAGTGCACAGCACGTCAAGCACGAGATACCTCTTCAGCGTGCATGCAAGCAGCCGAATGGCAACAACGGGCGCACCGCACACCTTGTCTCTGCGGAGAAGGGTTGCCTCACGCTGCTGGCTATACCGCCAAATCACATCAGCCATCCCAATCGGCGTGAACGCAAACACATACGACAGCTTCTTGCCTGATGATGATTGGTGGTGGTGATTGGTGATGATGACGATGATGATGATGATGATGATGATGGTGGTGGTGGTGGGTGTCACTTATTGGTTGGGAAATGCAGCAAATGGAAGTGCCACACGCAAGGAACAAAGCAGCGAAACCATGGTGCTGTGGAGAGCGTGGACCAAGTATGGCGTAATTTCGCACCCACAATACACACACACACACACACACACACACACACACACACACACAGCATGCACAAGCAAAACACAACACAAAATTAGTACAGAATGGTACAACTCACCCCAGCCGCGCTCGTACATGAGCGGCTTGTCACACGCTTGCTCACACGGGTCACAGTGCAGCCACCGCTGCTGGCTCGTACTGAACACCTCAGCCCACACGTGGTCCGTGTAGTCAAGCACATAGCGTGTGTGGAACCTGGAGCGCGCGGCGTGTGTGCGTGCGTATGTGCGTGTGCGTGCGTGTGTGTGTGTGTGCGTGCGTGCGTGTGTGTGTGTGTGCGTGTGTGTGTGTGTGTGCGTGTGTGTGTGTGTGTGTGTGCGTGTGTGTGCGTGTGTGTGTGAGGAGAGGCGCGACCGGTTGCATGCAGGGAACGCAGGATGCGCAGTTCGCTTGGTACAGCCAAACCAACGCCATCAGTTAGCAAAGATGACTCACCCGAGTGCACGGCAGCAGAGGACAAAGCAGTTTGCCCACTCGCCGCAGCGCCCGCGTCGCGTCTCCAGCAGCTTGCCTGGTGGCAGTTGGTGTCGTTGGAAGTTGAGCATTAGGTGGGGAAGCAGGTGCCGTGGGTGAAAGGCAGAATAACACAAAGCCGTGCATAGGTTGGTAGGTACAGGTGCAACAGACAAAGACGAGCGGGGGAGCAGGGAGGGGGCGGGCAGAAAGGCACGCAGACACACAGATACACACGCAGAGAAAAGCAAGAAGCTACACACAGACACAGACACAGACAGACAGACAGACAGACAGACAGACAGACAGACACACACACACACACACAGACAGACAGACAGACAGACAGACAGACCTGGGTGGTTGTAACGAGGGAAGCGTGTACTGCGGCCACAGGACTTGCACTGGTGGACCTCAACACGCCCCGCCTGCCACCTTGCCTCGTCCCCAAGCGGGGCAGTCATGCCAGCGACCTTCGTCTTGCCGCCGCAGTACTCGCACGGCAGCGTGTCAACCCACGTGAAGAACTCCTTCTTGAACCACCGCAGCAGCTCCAGCAGCAGCCTGTCCTCGGCACTCTTCTCGCCCTTGTCGTCCCGGTCATCCGCGCGCCGTCGAAGTTCATCCACAGGGATGCGTGCACGCGCCTGTGCCTGCAGTGCAGGTTGCTGCAGAACCAGGCGAGGGAGGGGAGCACATGGCGAGCAAGTGAGTGAGTGAGCGTCGTGGTGTGTGCTTGGCGTGTGTGCACATGGCTGGCTTCGCGGTGTTGTGAGCATGTGTACAATGGGCATAGGTGTTCTGCTGACAGATAGGCAGACAGACAAACCAGCAAGCGCGCGAGGAGGTTGCAGTTGCAGAGCGCGCATACTGCAGTCGCACCACCACACAATGACAGCGCTCCGTACCTCGTAGATGCGCATGCGAGAGATGTGGGAGGTGAGGGTTTGCACCATTTGCTGCCGGGCCTGTTGTTCCTGCGCGTCGCGTGCTTCCTTGCGCCGCCGCTCCTCCATCGCCTGTACCTGCTTCTGCTTTGCAGCCAGCGCTGCCTTGAGGACAGTCAGCAGGTTGTCCACGCTCTTGAGGCTGTCGCCAGAGAACACAAGATGGCCGGCTTCCTTCACAAACCCCATGGCTTGCATGCACTCTTCCCCGCCCGGCACCTGTGTGTGCGCGCGCGCGTGTGGATGTGTGCGTGTGTGTGTGTGCATGTGTACGCGTAAGCTTGGTACGTCGTACAGAGTCGGAGGGAGCGCACACACGCTTATGCTAGCGTCGTGACCAGCCCAAGCACGGTGTTCCACCACGACCACAACCACAACCGCAAGGCCGCGAGTGCACAGCCACCCCGCTGTTGCTTGCTTGCCTGATACACGCGTGTTTGGAACGACGTGTTCGCAAGGTTGATGCGGCGGTACTTGTCATCGTCTGGGTTCCGCTTCAGGTTCTCTGCGTTCACACCCACGACACCCACCCACACACACACACACCCACCACACACACACACACACACACCACCACACACACACACACACACACCACCACACACCACACCACACACACACACACACACACACACACACACACACGCACACACACACAAGGGTACATTACTCAACATTTGCACAATTGATAGCAGGACCAGCCTCTTAGGTTTATTTGCTCCCGCAACCCCAGTTTGGAAATTTTGGGATGCCTTGTTACACCTAAGGGGGGCCGATATTACACATTAGTCTCGGCGAAATGGAAACTCATCCTGCTCCCCGAGAGTGTTGGGCGGCTCGTATAACGTTTAAGCGGTCCGCTATATCGGGAGTAGTCAGAAGAGTGATACCCCGACCCTTTACGAACCATGAGGGCCTACAGGCAGTCTGAGGGCGGGAGGGTAACCCAGGCAAGAGCCCACAGTCCCTCACTTCTATCCCTGCAACGGGAGTAATCCAAGAGCTTCAGGCTCTACTCACTATTAAGCCGCATTCGTGGCATCGGCTGTTTGTTCTTTCACACACACACGGCGTTGTGAGCGAGTTGCGGTCTTGCCACCATCATGACGCCTGTTCTTCGCTTCCTCTTCTGCCCACCAGCAGCGTGAGCGTGACCTCTCTCATCTCACCTGCGTAGGTGATGATGGTCTCTGCCGCTGTCTGGAACGCTGCATGCGTGTGCGCTTTCAGCAGCTTGGTCACCGCCAGCGCAGCGCTTGGCCTTGCCGGTGATGTGTTTGTTGACGACATGGTTGGCGGTGTCGTTGTTGTTGTGGTTGGTGCTGTTGTTGAATGCTGGGTTCTTGTTGTGTCTGTGTGTTTATTGGGGAAAACTCGCTGAAATCTTACACTGCTCCCAGCGCTCAAAGATGGGGAAGGCAATTGCGGCAAAACGTTCTTGTTTGTTTCTTCCTCTCTTCCTCCTCTCTCTTCTTCGTCTTCTTATTGCTTGCTTGTTGTTAGCCTGCTCTACTTTTGTTGAATGACACAGAACGTCCATACACACACGCACACGCGTATGCACACGCAGCCACAATAGCTATGCACACATGCCAGAGTCTGCAATGATGACTGCTGCCGTTGGGGCGGCGTCTTGGCCGTCCTGCGGCGCCGTCGCCTCAATCTTGTCCAGAACATCCATGCCCTCCACCACCTGGCCAAACGCAACATGCTTGCCGTCAAGGGCAGGGGCCGGTGCAAACGTCAGGAAGAACTGGGACGTGTTTGTGTTCTTGCCGCTGTTGGCCATGCTGACAATGCCGCGCTTGTCGTGCTTGAGCTTCAGGCCGGGCTTCTCGTCGTTGAACTTGCCGTTGTAGATGGAGTCGCCGCCGCTGCCGTCCCCGCGCACAATGTCGCCGCCCTGCACCATAAAGCCTTTCTTGATGCGGTGAAATCGGCTGCCCTTGAAGTGCAGTGGCTTCTTGCTTGCCTTGCCAGCACCCTTCTCCCCCGTGCACAGGCAGCGGAAGTTCTCTGCCGTCTTGGGCACCTTGCTCTTCCACAGCTCAATCACCAGGCGGCCCGCGCGAACATCTGGCGGTGTATCGAACCGCGCTGCCCCCTTTGCAGACCACTCCGCGTCTGCAGCGTAGATCTCCGCCAGCATCTCCTTGCCGTCTGCGTCCAGGTCCTCAATCGCTGCGCCGGTGCCATACATTGCGCCTTTTGCCCTGACAAACTCGCGCGCCCGCTCGTATGCCTCCAACCATGCGTCCACCCCATCCGGGCGGATCTCAATGTCCAGGTACACTTTTGGTGCGCTGCCCATTGTCCCCAACACGTGCCGCTTGTGTGCGTGTGTATGTACGTGTGTGTACGCGTGTGTACGCGTGTGTACGCGTGTGTGTACGTGTACGTGCGTGTACGTGTGTGTGTGTACGTGCGCAAGGGAAGGATGTGCAGTGGCTGACGTACAAAGAGCGACGCACAAGAGACAGCAGACAAAGCCAGCCAGCAAGCCCAAGTCGTGTGCGGTGGGAGGTGGGTTGGCGAAAATTCATTAATACCTTCAACCAATTTTCACAACTGGCGCGCAAGCCACACCACTGATCACAGCGGGAACGTGCCCACGCCCCGCACCACACACCAAGCACTCCTCCTGTCCTATTCTTCGGCAAAGTGAGTGCAGCCACAGCAGCCACAGCCGCCTCGCAGCTTCCAATCAAACCAGAAGAAGGTGTTCGTGTCTTGTTGCCTGCTGTCCCTTGGGGGGGGGGGTCACCTTCGCTGCACACCCGGTCAATCGTTGGCCTGTGCGCGGTTATTTTTGTGGTACGTTCCCACTGCTCTTGCTTGCTGATCGTGTGGTGATTTGGTGTGATGTGCTGGGCCAACACTGCAGTCCGTGTGAGCGAGGGATGTGGTGGTTCTGTTGCCCGTTTTGGTGTTGCACACACACGTACACATACCACACACCGCACAAGTATCCGAGTAGTTGCTTGTTCTTTCTTGCTGTTCTGCATGTGCTGTGAGACAGCCACGCGTAACAATTTGAAGGAATAAGAGGGGAGGGGAGGGGGCACAGCTGCGTGCGTCATTGATCTGGTGTCCGTCTCCACTCTATTATTTACCTCATAATTCAACCCCCAAAAGAAACGAGCAACAGGGGTGCCGTGCAAATGGTGTGCATTCCTGCCGCTTGCCTTCAGGCCACCCTAGCCTGTATTCCTTCTTCTCTCCTTGCTTATCTCTTCGCCTCAAACACCACCACCACCACCGCCACCACAACAACAACAACAACCACCACCACGAACACCACGAACACCACCGCAACTGCCAGAGAGCCTGCTCACGCCCAGTCGCCGCGTCAGCCGTTGCTTTCCTCGCCGTCTCCATCACCGCGCCTGCCACCGCCACCGCAGACTGAGCAGCCGCGCCGCCAGCCTGACCCGACACCTGACCTCGTCCGCTTGCAATCGCCTGCCCACACATTTCCGTCCACAGTTGCGACACCAGCTGACACCAACACCACCACCAGCTGTCGTGGCAGTTTCTGGGACAGCAGCACCAGCAGCGCGTGGGACAGCACCAGCAGCAGCAACGGTTGGGACAGCAGCTGCGATAGCTCATACGACAGCCGTCACCACTACGGCAGCAGCTGCAGTAGCGCCTGCTGTGCCATCCCTGTCATGTCCAGACATCAAGTCGAAGCCCTTGTTCGAGAGTTGGGCAAGGGCGCCTTTGCAAAGTACGCATGGCATCTCTGATTCGCACATCTCTGTGTGTGCATGTGTATGTGCATGTGCATGTTGTACGCTTGTGCATGTGTGTTGTGCATGTTTGTGCATGTGTGTATGTGTGTTTTTGCATGTTTGTGCATGTGTGTATGCGCTTCACTATGCGGTGATCTGCATGGCGAGAGGAGCAGATGATGTGTGGATGTCGAGTTCTCTGCGCGAGATGTGGCTTCAGTTCACAGTCATGATGTTTTGTCCGCGTATGCTCTCTTCGTGTGCAGGGTTTATCTGGTCAAGGCAGAGAACCATGCAGGTGTCATCGCATGCAAGCGCGTTCAGGTGCGTCGAGCACATTGTTGTCTGAGCGTTTGCATGCGGGCGCGCATGTTTGCGTGTGCGATGCTCCATGCGTGACAGCGTATCTTGTTCTGACAGCTCTTAGACATCAGTGAACGCGGCTGACCAACGCGCCCCTGTACCACGCTTCACTTGTGCATGTGCATGTGCGTGTGTGTGTGCGTGTGCATGTGCATGTGTGCGTGTGCGTGTGCGTGTGCATGTGCGCGCGTTCGTATGCATGTGCGTGTGCATGTGTGCGTGTGTGTGTGTGTGCATATCTTTTCTTTCTCTCTCTCTCTCTCTCTGAGATCAGATTGCTCAACTGAGTGAGGAGAAGCGAGCAAAAGTGATGAAGGAAGTCAACATCTTGCGTGGCCTCCAGCACCCCCACATCGTCCGTCTCTACGAAAGGTACACCCTCTCTCGTCCATGTGCGTCTGCAACAAATTGTTGACGATAACTGCTGCCTCCACGTGCGTGCTCGTTGACTTGAGTCACATCATCATCATCATCATCATCATCACACACACACACACACACACATACACACACAAACAATCCACAATGCGCACTCACTTGTGTGCGTGTGTGCGTGTGTGCGTGTGCGTTTTGGTGCTCAGCTTTGAGACGGGGGACGTGCTGCATATGCACATGGAATACGTCGACGGCATCGATCTTGGGCAGCTCCTCAAGAAACACGTGCGTAGCCCTCATCACGCACCAGCGCATGCACGCGGCTTGTTCGTGTGACTGTGTGTGCAGATTTGCGCGCGTTCCCATTGATGTCAACACACTCACCAAACGTTGTGATATTCCGCACAATGCTCGCTCATGCGTGCCTGTCTGTGTGTGTGCGTATCAACTGCTACTTTGTCCTCCCTTTTGTGCGTGCATGCATGTGTCTGAGACAGAAGACGAACAACGACCGCTTCAGCCAGGCTACCGTCATGCGCTGGTTCTCCCAGCTCTGTTACGCCGTCGAATATGTCCACAGCCACAACATCATCCACCGTGACATCAAGGTTGTTCTTCACCTCTGCAGCTTGCGCGTGTTCCTTTCTTTCTGTGTCTGTGCGCGTGCGCGTGCGTGTACACATGCGTGTACATGTGCGTGTGCGTGTGTGTGTATATGTGTCTGTGTCGTATTATGTTGCAGCTCACGCTTGTCACCGTGACCGTTGCATATCGCCATGTGCAGCCGACAAACTGCTTCCTGGAACTGGATCAAGGTTCGTACACACACACACACACACACACACACACACACACACACACACACACACACACACACACACACACATTTCGCTGAGCTGCGCTGTCTTTGCTCGCGTTGCTGGTGTAGCCTCACCAGTGCGCCCACGATTCACTTGTCGCACCCCCCCCCCATACCCAACTCCAACTGCCTCCATCCTTGCTTGCATGCATCCTCCAACAGACATTGTCAAGCTGGGAGACTTTGGGCTGAGCCAGCACATTCCGTGGTACCACCCGCGCTCCACTGGGTTTGTGGGCACGCCGTACTACATGAGCCCTGACGTGCTGAATGGGCTCGACTACACGGCAAAGGCAGATGTGTGGTCGCTGGCGGTGCTGCTGTACGAGATGCTCACCCTCCACCGCCCCTTTCGCGCAGAGAACCTCGACCAGCTCAAGGCGAAAGTCCGCAAGCGTATGTCTTCTTGCGCATTTGTTTTGTGTGTGCGTGCTTGTGCGCGCGCGTGTGTGGTGTGTGTGTGGTGTGTGTGTGGTGTGTGTGCTTGTGCGTGTGCGTGTGTGCTTGTGCGTGTGCGTGTGTGCTTGTGCGTGCGTGCGTGTGTGTGTGTGTGCTGTGTGGTGTGTGCGTGTGTTTGCTTGTGTTCTTCTTTGTGGGTCACCGTCGACGCTGGGGCATGCATGTGCATTTACTGACATGACATTTCATGTGTGCGTGTATGCTCGTTTTCAGGGGAGTTCAATCCGCTGAGCAGCAAGTACGCGTCGGCGGAGGTCCGCCACCTCTTCAACATCATGCTCGTCAACGACGTAAGTGGTGATGGCTCGACACACTCTCGCACGTGTTGCGTATGGAGAGTTGCACATGCACGCAGATGATTGGCAACGGGTGTCCGGCAGACACCTGGACACACACACACACACACACACACACACACACACACACACATACACACACACACACACACACACCCACACATACGCGCATACGACCGCATTCTTACACACACGCACACACACACACATACACACATATTGTTTGTTTGCCACGTAGGAACAAGACCGCCCGTCTTCATCGGAAGTAACGGCACACCCGTGTGTGGCAACCGCCTTTGCTGAGCTCCACCCCTTCCACCGCCAGAGCCACCACAGGAGCACATGTACGACCTTGTACACATACACACACACTCACACTCACACCCTCAAACACACGTACACCCCCCATACACACACACTCACACACTCACACTGCCTTGCTCTCGTCCTCGCTGCCTCGGGTCAAAGTCAAAGTCAAGGTACCACTGCCTTTTCATACTTCCTCCTTTGCACATCTTCCATCACATTTCACGTCACATACCACATCTCATGTGCCCATCACCCCTTCATCACAAACTCGCCACTTGTTGGCACGGGTCGCACAGGCCGCGGGCAGGCTGTGGAGTGCCACATTGCGATTATGCAGTCGAAGAAGGTGCCAGATATCAGCGATCTGATTGCCAGCCGCGCCGATTCCGTCAGCCTCGCGCAGTCCCCTGCCAGGTCTGCATCGTGTGTGTGTGTGTGTATGTGTGTATGTGTGTGTGTGTGTGTGTGTGAATGTGCGACTTCGCTTGTAGAACACGCTCTCATGTACACATGTGCACTCACGTTGCACGCCAACACCTAATCACCACCTGTCCATCAACAAAACCGGCACTGCCGCCACTAGTGTGTTTGCGTCAAGCGGGCGCAAGGCAAGCTTCGTCAACATTGGCGAGCGGGCGTGGCGGCGCGCCCGTCTCATTGAGAAAGGATCGCACTTTGTTGTCAAGCGCTCGCTCAAGACACTGCTCAAGTTCCCTTACGCGGTGCGTGTCAGTGGCCTGACACACGCTGCAGATACTCCTTGGCATGAAGACAGGAACTGGGAGAGGGGAGAGGGGAGAGGGGAGAGGGGGTGCAATGGCGTCCATGTGTTGTGGTTGTGCAGTGTGTGACCAATGCAGAGTGCTTGATCCTCCACGCGGTTTGAAACGCTCCGTTTCCCATGTTCCCTCTCCCATGTCGCTAATGCCCCGTAATGCATGGCATCACACCACACCGCTTCACTGCTACAGGGTGACCGCGTGTTTCGCGCTGCGAGCCAGGGCCACCCCCACCTCGTCATTGTCGTCAGGAAGGATATGACGTTTGCTCTCTCCCTCCCGCACCAGCAGCTGCTCGAGCCGTTTCTCAGACACCTCGTCAGTACACGTGCCTGCATGTGTGTATGTTTGTTTGTGTTTGTATGTTTGTGTGTGTGTTTGTGTG